ACCTCAGCCCCTGCCTCAGCTAATGCTGATGTCTCCTCTAAGATTTCCTTCTATCTACTTTGTTTATATCTTGTTTGATGCCATTTATGTTCATATTTTCTCCTCTATTAGAATGTAAACATCTTGAAGACAGGGACTGATTTTGCTTTTTTCCCCCCTTGAACCTTCAATTTTTAATATAGTACTTTACACATATTAAGCATTTGATAAAAGATTGTTGTTTGATTGCCCATAAATACATATGGGATTAATATAACTCTACACTTCTAATTGAGAACACCATGTGTAAGTGTAAATTGGTGCTTGCTTTTTTTCTTCCCACATAATTTCATTGCTTTTCCATGTCATGGTTAAGGGTCTTGTCTGCCCCTTTCCTATGAAAAAAAAATGCTGGACCAGTTGTTTGCAACATATGGAAATCACTCTGTCCTCCTGAGGAGCAAGGTGACCAGATGTGCAGAATTCTTTGTTCAATTGTTTAAGTTTGTTTCTTTGACAGTGTAAGCATACTGAATTGATTTTTTTGGTATCCTACAATGTTGAAGACATTTTTTAGTTAAAAAATGTACTTATGAAGAGTGAATATAGGAACACTTGGTAGAAATAATGCAAAAATTATGTTTTATGTATTATATTAACTTCTATCCCAAAAAAACCTGGCATGCAGATTTTGAAAAACCACAGTAATACAGACAATGTGAAAACAATTGTGTAACCATGAATTGCTGAAGTTACCCATTTTAATTGAAGTGGAAAGACTAAATCATGTATGGACTTGAAATACCAATTTCCATGTCATTTTCTTATAGGCATTTATGGTTCATAATAGATACATTTAATTTTCAAAGTGATTTAATATAAAGTACTATATGTAGCTCCAGACTGAGATAAAACAGAGTTCTGTTTCCATCTTTGTAATTTATATGTAACAACCGAGAGAGAGACAAAGAATTGAGAAAGCCATGATCCCTCTCCTTACCTAGGTGGTACAGAACAATTTGTGCTGTTGTGTTCATAGTAAGTGGATATTATTTCACTTTGGGTTATTTATATTATGCTACTGTAGCAAGTGTAGAATATTAGGTTCATTTTCATAAGGTCAATATATTGGAGAAGTAAAAAAAAATAGATCAAGGATTATATGAGCTAGGAATATATGAAATTTCTTTCAAACTACGTCTGGAACTTCTTTACCCTTATTACCAAGCCCTTTCCCTTTCAACAGTCATACTGTTAGATTTGTTGGTGCCCACAAAGGCACTCTGATTTGAGAAAGGAAGCCCATAGGCAAGATCATTTGGTGATCAGTGGTGCCCACAATTAAAATAAATCTGTACTTGGCAGACATCTTATGGCTATGATCATTGCTTTTCTGAACTGCTACATGTGGTTGGGAGAGGGATAAGGGGTACTAGAAAACAAGCCACAATATTTACTTGAATCCAACAACCATAACTGTACCCACAAATTATATAATAAGTGCTCAGGGGATGGAGGTCAAAGTATGCATGGGATTATTGCTTTTGTCAACATCAACGACTTTCTTTTGTATTGAAGTACTCTCAGTGCCTTGGCTAGCTTCCATCTACAATGGTGCCACAGAAACTAGAACTCAGACTACTTTTTAGACCTCAAAAAAAGACATTCTTCATCTACCAAGTCATTTTTTTCTTGATTTCTCCTTCTTCTAATAGGTATGGTTAACTACACTTTCAGGACTTAGGGCGGCACAATATATAAAGTAATGGTCTTGAAACCACAATGACCTGGGTTCAAGTCCCTCTTCTGACACTTATTGAATGTGTGACCCTGGGCAGGTGACTTCATTCTCTAGTACTCTAGACAACTCTTTAAAGTTGCAAAATTTAAAAAAGTTTTCACGTAAACAAAACCAGTGCAACCAAGAATAGAAGGAAAGCAGAAAGCTAGTACACAGTTTTTATTAGAGACAGTCAGTGGCTCTGATAAAGGCCTCATTTCTCACATTTCTAGGAAACTGAGTCAAATTTACAAGAATATAAGTCATTCCCCAATTGATATATAGCCAAAGGATATGAACAAGCAATTTTCAGATGAAGAAATCAAAGCTATTTATAGATATATGAAAAAATGCTCTAAATTACTATTTACTAGAGAAACACAAATTAAAACAACTCTGAGGTGCCCCCTCACACCTATCAGATTGGTTAATATGATGGAAAAGGAAAATGATAAATGTTGGAGGAGATGTGGGAAAATTGGGATACTAATGCACCTTTGGAGGAGTTGTGAACTGATCCAGCAATTCTGGAGAGCAATTTGGAACTATGCCAAAAGGGCTATAAAACTATGCATACCCTTTGATCCAGCAATATCAGTACTACATCTGTATCCCAAAGAGATATTTTTTTTTAAAAAAGGAAAAGGACACTATTTGTAGAAAAATATTTATAGCAGTTCTTTTTATGGTAGCAAAGAATTGGAAATTGAGAGGATGCCCATCAGTTAGGGAATGGCTGAACAAGTTGTGGTATATGATTGTAATAGAATACTATTGTGCTATAAGAAATGAGGAGCAGGATGATTTCAGAAAAAACCTGGAAAGACTTACACAACAACATGCAAAGTGAAGTGAGCAGAACAAAGAGGACATTGTACAAGGTAACAATGATATTGTACAATGATCAATTGTGAATCACTTAGCTATTCTTAGCAATACAATGATCCAAGACAATTCCAAAGGACTCTTGCTGGAAAATAATACCCACATCCATGGAAAAGACTGATGGAATCTGAATGCATATTGAAGCATGCTATTTTTCACTTTATTTTTTATGTTTTTTTCTTTTTTGGTTTGTGTCTTTCACAACAAGACTAATATAGAAACATGTTTTGCGATTACACATATATAATCTATATTAAATTGCTTATTGTCTCAGGGTGGGTCATGAAGAGGGAGGCAGGGAGAGAATATGGAACTTAAAATTTTAAAAATTGAATGTTAAAAATTGTTTTTACATGTAATTGGGAAAATAAAATATTATTATTATTTTTTAAAATAGACTATAATTTGCAGAAAAAGTGGTGATCTACATTGCTAGGAGGAATTTTCTCACCTTGGAGTTCCTTATACCAATGAAATTTTAGGTTTAGTCACCATCCTCATGAATCTTCTTTAGGAGACTCTTCAGTGTTTCAGGGTTAGATGTGATCAAAACAATATCCACTGAAAACAGGAACATCAGAAGGATCTTTATTTGGTGTGTGTGTGTGTGTGTGTGTGTGTGTGTGTGTGTGTGTGTGTGTTTAATGGACCAAAAATAAGCCTGGATTGTTCGTATATTCTCTGCCCCACTTCTGTTAATTATGACTATAAAAAGATATGGTCTGATGTAGAATTTTGTTTTTATAAAAACCTACTTATTTCTGTTTCATGCCTTCATAAAGGAGTCCCTTACTATTCATGTAGTTTCTCCTCTTAAAGATTTTGTAAAGTTGGCAAAGAAAGAATATGGAAGCATGGCTAGTGATATTTTTTTGGTTACTTTCTTGATTTGATTAGTAATTACAGCCATGATTTTTCCCCAAAACATTTGGTACCATATCCCTTTTCAGAAATCTTGAGTAGTTCTTCAGCACCTCAAATATTACATGACCCTAGTCACAAACTTCTTTTGGGTGCCCTTGTGCTAGCCCATCATCTTTTAACATCTGTTTACTTTAGTGTCACTTCTACTATTCTACAAGGTATACTAGAAACTATGGTGTTAGAACTAAAACATCTTGTTGGATCTACTCTCACTGAGGGAAGAAAGACATAAAACAAGAAAAATACAAATACTGAATTTATACAAACTAAAATTTATGTAGCCAATAAGGGGAAAATCAAATAAAAAATGAAAGATAATTTCCTTCAAATTATGTTTATGTCTGCTATAACATTATATCTGCTGTAGTATTCAACAGACTTGCTTAGAGAATAAGATTCCAGGGTTAATGTGGTCGAAATAGACCCTATTTGGATTTCTCTGTAGAAAGGAGTCCTCACAATAAAAAAACAAATTTGATAATGTTTATAGGTACCCCAATGTTGATTTTATAACATGCATTTGAAGTACATGATTAGTGAGACTAATTAAGGGAGATAGAAAATGTGAAGCTCAGAATATTCCCTTATATTACCAGTTGCACCACTCATGTCAAATGGCACAAGAGTTGAAGTTACATGAACTAAAAATGAGACTATATTCTTTTTCAGTATTTCCACAATATGCAATTTCATTTCAATGACTGCTTCCTCAACACATAAAGGTTACAATACCCTCTATGCTTTAATGTTGTTGTTTGGTCATTTCAGTCATGCCTGAGTCTTCGTGACTCCATTTGGGGTTTTCTCAGCAAAGATACTGGAGTGGTTTGCCATTTCCTTCTCCAGCTCATTTTATAGATGAGGAAACTGAAGGAAACAGGGTGAAATGACTTGCTCAGGATCACACAAATGTGATTATACAAGTGTCTGAGGCCCAAGTTGAACTCAGGTAGATAAGTATTCCTGACTCCAGGCCTGGCACTCTATACACTGTACCACCTAACTATCCCCTCTACACTTTAATAGTCTTCTGGAAATGTTGTGGCTTTTAAGTTTTGTGACCTAGAGATAGTCAGTTATCACTCCCTAACCGTAACCAGGCTGCTTTCATGAATACAAAGGTATATAGATTATTATTAACCTCAACTCATAGTCTTTCCAGCTTTCAGCAGAAATACTGAAGAGGTTTGGAGAAACCATAGGAAACTGGAGGATCTAGCTAAAGGAAATGATAAAAAAAAAATTTCAAGGTATTTTAATCACTCAGTGCATCCGTCTGATTGATACATATGTGTTTGCATATATCATGCAATATTATATAAAGAAATATAAAAGGCAAACCTTAAGATAGATACTTTAAAAGATTACAGTAGTGACTTTTTAAAAACAATTGTTATCCCCAATGATACAATTTACTTGTTCAATCTTTTAGGTGAAGACAGATGACAGAGTTGTCAAAATGGACCTTGGTTTGCTCTTCCTAAGACTCCACAAAATGGATGCAGGAACCTATTTTTGTCAGACTGTGGAGCACAGTTTTGTACATACAGTCCGCAAAATCACCTTGGAAGTGGTAGAAGAGGAGCGAGTTGAAGAGATGTTTAATAAAGACTATGAGGAAGAGGTTCCCCACAAAATGCCATGCCCTGTCCAGAGCAGCATCCCACAAGGGTCAAAGCCATGGTACAAAGAGTTCTTGCAATTGATTGGCTATAGCAACTTCCAGCGAGTGGAAGAGTACTGTGAAAAAGTGTGGTGCACAGATAAGAAGAGGAAAAAGCTTAAAATGTCCCCCTCCAAATGGAAGTATTCTACCCCACAGGAAAAGAAGCTTCGGGCCAAATCTGAGCACTATCGCCTACCCAGGCATGCACTGGACTTCTGATGGGGTGAAACCATTGGCTGACTTTTTGAAGAATTTTTATTTGGACTTCTGAGATTTAAAAGACTAGATTTGATTTCTTTGTGACAGTGGAAATAAGTACTATAAGAAAGAAGTGACTGAAAAAAAGTATTATGGTAAATTATACTTAATTCTTTTTGACTGATTAGAGGTTATATGAGGCTAACTAGTTGTTTCTAAATGTCATTTTATTGCTTACATGGTTTTTGACTATCTCAAAAAGTTACCTTGTTGTAATCTTTGTAATTGTTTGATTATTCATGCCAACTACTATTTGCTCTTTGTGTATTACTAAAATATTTAAGGAAATTCAAAGGAATTAAGAATTAAGAGGCAGGAGATGGGAAGACAACATAGTTAATCCCTCTGCTTTTTCAAACTTCTGCTTTGCTTTTAAAACTGACAAATGATCAAGAGACGTTCATTTTTTCATGTGGACAGTTGGTAATTTTTGTTGTGAGAGTTAAGCCATGAGTTTGCTCTAAGGACCACTGTGATTTTTGTAAATGAGAAGACAAATGTATTCAGCCCCAGGGGTACACCCCTTTATAAAACATTTATGGGACCGGCTTCATATTTCTATTATTACAGCTGACACTATCCCTTCCAGTTACACTCAGGTGTGGAAAGAATGAGGCTAATAGAACTTCCCTATTAGATGCTGAAGCAAAACATTAAATTGAACTGTGAGTTATGGTTGGAACAAATGTTTGCTTTAACAGTTGGAAGATTTATATGCTTGACTTCTTAAGGTAAAAAAAACAAAAAACAAAAACAAAAAAATCCAGCATATGCTTATAGCAGCATATGTGTGTCCATATGTATCTATATATGCATATGTGTATATAAATGTTCATTCATAGGTATGTATGTTTCTGTGTGTATACAAGTGTATATTTGCAAGTGTGTGTGTGTGTGTGTGTGTGTGTGTGTGTGTGTGTGTGTGTGTGTCTGTACATTTTTCCCTGCAAAAATCTTTGGGCTATACTTGCCCAAAGAAAGTTTGGTCAGTTGCTGTATATTATGTTTCTCATCAAAACTAATTAATTAAAAAACACCCTCTTATAAGACCCCAACTCATAGTTTCACATGTGGATAATTCAATCAAAAGGAGTTTATTAGTCCACCAAATAAGAAAAGACAAAAAGGTGTGCACAAATAAAAACTTACTAAATTTTCACTCTTTTAAAGCTTCTAATTAAAAAGAAGTCATTTCAGGGACATAAACTTATTTTATAAAGAAAATCATTACAGTATTTTATATCTGAATAAATTTGCTATAAAGATGTAGAGAGAAAATTGCTTTTAGAACATTTTTATTTTTCTCTTATAAAACACAAGAGAAGCTTTGATTTTTGGTAATATTCAATTTACTTTCTCTACCTTTTCCTTCTGCATTTTGCGTTTTATAATTCTGCATTTTTTGGAGCATCCTCTATTCTAAATTATAAAATTTCAATCTGAGGTAATTAATGAAAATATTTAAATAAAATATAAAACAAGTCAGCAATGATAAAGCAGAAAGTCAAAACACTGAAAAAGAAACATTATGAGTTTTTTTTTCTTTTAACTTTATCTAATACCCATCTCATAGAATTACAAAGGTGCATTGGATAGAAAGCTGGGCTGGAATACAAAACACCTGGATTTGAGTCCTGTCCCAGATATATCATGGCTGTGAGATCCTAGGCAAATCATTTAACCTCTCTGTGCCCCAAGCAACTTCTAAGACTAAATTGCAGAAGAGATAGTAATCTGCATTAGTAAAGGGAAGTTCCTCACCAGAAACTTCCTAGATTGGTGAAATCATAAATCACATCCCAAAACAAAAACAACTTCTGCCACCTTGTATTACTCTTCAAATATAGGCCACCTGTTAGAGAAGTTGAATTACAGATTACCCATAGTAGTTAAATATTCATGGTAGTTTAAATTGCAGGCTGTAGTTAAAATAAAACATACAGTTAGTTTTATTATTGTTAATATCCATGCTAGTGTGTCTTTTTCCCCAGCATTGAAATAATAATAAAGGACCTGATGTAAATGAAATTAATGTTTTCCAAAATTAAGCTTGTTATTTACCCAAGAATCCACTGGAGGTCATTGCTGCCCACTAGGATGCAACTGAAACACTCTATAGTTTGGAAATTATGAAAAAACAGGCTCTCTCAAAGAGAGAAAAAAAAAGGAAAGGGAAAAAAAAAGCTGCCCAACTGGAAAAAAAATAGGACAAGGCACTCAAATTAGTGACAGTTCAATGAAGATAAGATTTTTAGCATGCTTGTGATGAAAACAATATAGGAAAGGACAAATCAGTTCAAAAGAATATTATTTCAAAAAATCAAGGGTGAAAATAGACATTTCTCTTGTACTGCTACAAATAAATGAGGAAAATCACATAACTAATTTCCCATTATTTGAATTTCAGAAGTATGTATCATCAGCTCTGGGTAAATCCCCTAACATGTCATTTTGAACTGTAACCATTTTTATGTGATTACAGTGAGAACACAGAGAAAAAAATACATGCTTCCATGTTTGGGGTTGGGGTGCTAACAGTTTTAAAGACATCATATCAAATATAGATGGTAGCAGTAAACTGCCTAATTATCTACATAACTCAAGCTCCAAAACAGATTTTTTTTGGGGGGGGTGAGGCAATTGGGGTTAAGTAACTTGCCCAGAGTCACACAGCTAGTGAGTGTTATGTGTCTGAGGCTGGATTTGAACTCAGGTTCTCCTGACTTCAGGGCTGATACTCTATCCACTGCACCACCTAACTGTCCCCAAAGTAGATTTTTTAAAATGCTGAAATATAATCATCAAATTCACCAGATAAATGACCTTGAACCTGAGGGAAATAATATATTCCATTTTGAAACTCATTCCTTTTGCAGAGGTGTCTTGATTGGTAAATAAGTGAGCTGCAAACACAATTAGTCCCTTTTATATAGCTCATCCCAGATCCTTGGAATTGCTTCATTTCTCTTCCAGCTGTCTTCCCTAGCTATCTTGATAGGTGTCCTCCATTCTTGCACCTAATCTTCCTCTCCCTTTACATCCATATCTCTGGGATCAAAAACAAAATCAGTTTTATCATTGTTATTAGAAACAGTATCTTAGTGTAATGTCCTATGCATCGACTTAATATTCCTGGTAACTCCTCATACATTCTTTTTCCAGATGACCACCCTTCAATATGTGTTGTCCCCCTCCCTTCAGTACAATAGAAGTTCCTTGAGGACAGGGATTATTTCATTTTTTTTATTTGGATCCCCAGTGATTAGTACAGTGTCTAGTATAGTGTTAAGTGCTTATTAAACAGTTCATTCATGAATTTTATTATGAATGCCAAATCACAACTTCTGTTTTGTAGTAAGAACCAGAAGGGAAAAAAAAGAAAGAAAATGGTCAACATTAAGAATATTTTAACTGTCAGGTACAGAAAAAATATGGAATTAATCAGAAAAGAATTTGATATAAAATCATAAAATATATTCAGAATAATTTAACATAACAAAAGTAGACACTAATGATAAGAATACCGATAGGAAACAACTGGGAGAGGGAATCTGAGGCCTCAACTACAGAGTTTAGGGTGATAGTGATAGGTATATATACAGTACTTTGGTTTCATTGCTGTAGGAATGCCCAAAAAGGAAAACTCCCCTACCAATTCAGATCAGCACCTTCTCTTTTAGTATTAGAAAGTTGTCTAGCTAGGGTACTGAGAAATTAAGAGATTTATGCAAGGCCTCACAGCTATTACGTATCAGAGGGAAGATTTGCATCAAGATTTACCTGACTCTAACACCAGGTGTCAATCCACCATCTACATTACCCCTCTAAAGGAGGATATTTATAAATCCATGTGGATAGAAAACTCTCTCTTTTTCTCAATATAGCATAGTACCTCCAAAAACATTATGCAATAGATTGGCCACCTAAAAAACATTATGGAAGGGTAGCATGCTAATAACCCAAAAAATCTCCTTAACTATATTGGTGGGCTCTTGTAGTATGTATGTTTTTGTATTTGCAAATGTGTAGTGTGTAGTAATTGAGGAACATGGGAACAGATGGTTAAATGAAGTGAAAGAAAAAAGTAAGGGAAAGAAAAGAAGTCCTTGGATGGTGATTCTCCAAAACCCAAATAAGTATATGTATGCTTTACAAAAAAAAAATCTGTTTTCCTGTCATTATCTTTTAGGATCATAAATGCAAGAGTTGGTCAATGTTCTCTGAAGTTCAGAAAATCACTTATGCTTAAGCTAGGCAAAGTAGAAATGACTTAAGATCAGTGCTTTCCTTGTGCTCAGGGGAATGTGTAACACCATACAGGGATGGAGGAGATAAGATCCCTCTCTTCCATAGTTTCTCTAGACATAGGTTTGATGAAAGGAAGACCATGCTTCACAGACATAGACAGCCAGAGCAACTGCTGAGAAAGAGTTACCTCAAAGTCAACATAACCATAGCCTTCCTAGAAGGACAGGAAGCCAAGCATCTGTATGGCTCCTCTCTCTACTTGGGCTATGTGTCTTCTAGGTAGAGCATGGCTGGGTCAAATGGAAGAGCAGAATGAGTGTCTACAAAAAACTGGAGAAGGAGGCCACCCTCCATCATTAGCTTGGCAAGAAGAAAAAAAAATTCTCAGAGGACAATCAGTATTGTCACTTGGCTCTTCAGTGTTGTAGAATGAACATTGACCTGGAGAGCTGAGACGTCCAAGTTGTAGCCCTGCCACTAACTTCCTTTATAACCTTAGAGGAATCATTTAATTTACCTGGGTCTTAGTTCCTTCATCTGTAAAATGTGGGGATTGGACTAGATACTCTCTCCTAGCTCTAGTTTTTCCAATTATAAGAATTCCTCTTTTTTTTTTTCTGTTTTCAACTGGAGAACTGGTGGCTTACTGATAAATGCTTCCTAATTTGGGGAAACAGAATTATACAATACATGGGTCTGAGTATTAATAAATTACTTTTAAAATGAAGAATCTTCTTTATTGGCTTATTTGTAAGTATTGCATATATATGTATACATACACATTTGTATCTGTGTATATTTACATATTATATAATATGAGATTTTTCCATTTTTAATTTCAGCCAAAAGTCCAGGATTATATTTCTGAGTATTCAGTATTTGTTGTATCAGTGTGTGGGTTTGTAAATCTTAGTGGTGATAATGCACATTTGTAAAACCTGTTAAAAAAAACCCAATAACTTGTTTTGAATGTCAGTGTTAGGCATGGAACAAATACAGAACAC